GGCATATGATGACCTGCTGTCTGGAGAGCTGCTGAGTCAGACAGTCCTGAGTCACATCTGAGTGTGGTGAGCACAGCAGAGATGCTACATTTTCTGAGGAAGCAAACTGAGGAAGCAAATCACTGCCATGACACAGCACTGTAAATATCTTGATAGCATTATTTTGAAGATTAATATCTACTGCAGTTCTGGGCTCTTTCTGCTCAGGCACCAGAAAACTTATCTGCTAAAGAAAATGTGATGTAGCATCTGAAGCTGATGGGGATCCCCTCTAGAGCAGCACGTTGTTTGCAGGGGATGCACAACTGATTGTCCTGAATGTCAGAGTGCATGGCTTTCAGTGTGTGTAGTACAATCATGTGGTGTTGGAGCTTACAGCACATCCCCCCCTCTTTCTAGTGTACCTTACACACTGCATCCAGCCTAGTTTGAGAATATCCTTTCAGTTGAAATTGTCTGAAAAATGGGGGACTTAAGTAATGACACCAATGTTCAATTCTAAACAAAACTGTAGAGTGCTTGCTTGTCCTCGGGTGAGAGATTCACTCTCATCTGCTCAATTCTCTGCTTGTAAATCAATGCCTAATATGTTATTGTGCCTTAAGAGGATTAAAAGTATGCATGTGAGGTACATAGAAGCTATTGTCTTAAAACCAAAGAAAAAATACTTCCAGCAGCCCATCTGAGACCCAGGTGCACAGAGACATGAGGATGCATAAGGTGTGGAACTAGGTGGGGTCAGGTTGGCAGATCCTGCCCTGAAGTCTCTGTCCTGCCACAGTGACAGGAGAATTTTATGAGGTACATGTATAAGCCTTAGCCCTCCTTCTCTTCTTCTGTGACTCTGATAGGAGATATGTTGGTAAAGATATCTTTGAGCCATCCTGTCTATATTCTGTCATAAAACTGCAGTCAATCTATCCATCTAAAACATTTCCCACCATACTGATGCCATCTATCCCAGACCCCTGTGGCAGCATATTATAGAAATTACTAATTGTTGGGTGTACTGGTAAGGAAGGACTGTATTTCGTGTGGTTTAGGCTTACCTCCTGCTGATTTTACTGCATGTTCCTTAACTGTCCAACTGCCTGACAGTCGCAGGGAATTTCTGTTCACCAGAAAAACAGGTACCACAAATCAAGTCCCTCCCAGTCAAAGGCACCTCTGCCAACCTGAGTCTGGTTACGGTCTTGTTGCCAGTAAATCCCCTCTGACTCTTCTGCAGGTGGGCCCAGGCAGCGCCTAGGGGATCCAGCAGCTGTCTGATGCCTCTTCTTGATGCCTCTCAGACAGTGTTTTTGCCAAGGCATACAGAGCTCTCCTGAAGATGCCTGAGCAAGTAGAAAGCAGAGGGTAAGGTTTCTCGTGGGCAAGGTGTTTTGGTTGTCTCATATCTCACATGGAAGACCTGAGAAGGTTGGTGAACACTCCATGATCCAGATCCAGCCAGGAAATTCTAGTCACCACTTTCATTTTCAGGCTGTCATTTTGAGGGGTCCTTTTATTTCACCTAGAACAGAGGAAATACCTTTAAATTGTTCTCTTTTCTCCTTTGTTTTTATTTTCTTCTTTCATTTTTCTTTTTATTTTTCTTTTTCAGAAACTTAGTCTTACTGAAGCATATAATGTAAGGGCTTGTCAAGGCTTTCTAACTTGCTTATTGAGTGTCTTAGCCAGTACAAGAAACACAGTTTCCTTAAAGTTCCAGAATATTCCTTAGGCATAGGTCAAATATGTCTAAGGTGTCTCAAATGCTTTCCTGTGGATTTTTTTTCTGCTCTGCCAGATACATCTTGTTCATTCCTGAAAACACAACTCTCTTTCTAATCAAGTAACTTTTTTTATAGTCACTGGTCTCTCCCATCATGAAATTCTGCTTGTCAGATTATCTGGTTCTTCCTCGCTACCTCTGGAGATTTGGAATCTCTACACATCACTACCACAGGAAACTGGAAGTCCACCAAACCCAGCATGCTGTAGGAGGAGCAGACCTTCAATTTGAAAAGGACAGCATCTGTGCTCCCAGTGCTCAGCTAGGAGGTAGGCCAAGAATCACACGGTCACCCCTCTTCTTCCCTCTTCTAATCTGAGCAAATGCAAGGAAACATGAAAACAAATTTGTCAAACAACACTCTGTGAATTCTGCAAGCTTTGCAGATATTTGTTCTTCTCACCTCAGTTAAGTCATTTGAGGAAAACCACCTGAACTCAGAAGTGAGACTTGCACAAAATGTTGGCATTAGTCCAGCTGTCATGGAATTTTGCTGACTCTACAGTCCTGGTGACACTAGGGGTTTGATTATGCAGTCCAGGAGGGGTTTCCTTGTGTTTTCATATCATTTTACATTTGGCACAGTTTAAACATGTACTTTCTCTTATTTGAAACAGCTGCTTTCATTCTGCTTTGCAAAGAACTCATAGCTGTAGCTATGGCTTTCAGACTTGTCTTTGCTACTACAGGGATTTCTATGGCTTCTGGTGACACCAGCTAATGAGACCAACATGACCTTTATGTGCAACCTATATTTATAGGGCTGCTTCAGATTGCCCAGCGCCCTTGCCATGCAATCGCCTCGTTACTGGCATTGGAAAACTGCATTTAAAGTACAATAAATTAGTGTAATTTTTTGCAGTACTGAAACTTACTAGAAATCCGAAAAGAAAGTCTTGCTATCCTTGTTTCAGAATCAAAGGTACTCATTTGCAAATGTGATCTTTTCTGTTTGGAAGGAGGTTATATTTCATGTGCTGATTAATAAAAAAACCAGCTTATTTTCAAGCCTGGGTTTTTACTAGTGTCTTGGTGACTTGCAGTCATCACAGAGTCAGTTCCAGCTGGACTCACACCTGAACAAAATGTCTGTTTGAAGATGAAGGTCATATGTGTATTTTTGGAGGGTTGGTTTGCTCATTGACATTGATTCTGTGACGTGCCCCTGTTGTGCAGTAAAAGCATTGGTGTGTTTGTCACAAGCAGCTTTAGCTACAGCAAGAGATATCTGTACACTGTAGGAAAAAACTCCTTAAAACATTTGCAACATACTGCTGCGATGAGCTCTGCTCCCTTTAAAGAGAGGTAAGCAGGGAAGCAAAAAACATTGAAGAGTTTGCTGTGCATCTCCACAGTGTGAAAAGGTTTTCAGGCCTGAGCAGATATTGATATTTTTTCTTTTGTTTCTATGTGGAAGTGGTTTATAAGAATTCAACAGGTAGTGCTGTTACCAATGTTTAATCTCTGGCTGTTCCTGGGGCTGATTCTTCTTATACTCCTCAATCCTTACAGGTTTCAAGGAAATCTTTCTGCTGCACTAAGTTCCATAGAGTGAGAGCTGCTATTTCAAAGCAGTTTCCTTTATTGTGGATTGAATAGTGCATGTGCAAATTCCTCAGTCATGAAAGCTTTGTTCGCTTGCATCCCAGAGGACAGCAGCCCAAAGTGTATTAATCAGCCTGATTCTTGTCTCATGCACAAAGATGATCAGTGGATTCTGCAAATTCTGCTTCTCCAAGAAGTGTGACTGCATCAGCAACAGCTAGATCGCATATTAATAGAAAGCAATGTGCAGAAATCTGATCCCATGAAGGCTACAGTTATTTTGGATTAAGAAATGAACATTACACATAATTGCAGAGCAAACTCTAGCTGTTTTAAAAGATACTGAATTGTGTGAAATTCTTGACATGAAACAGATGAATAAGGCAATCACAGTAGATGAGGAATGAATGAAAATACAGACAGCAGTGGCAGCAGGGCTTTTGCAAAGAACTACAGTAGTATCTTTTAAACTGTTTTCACAGTTTAAGATAAGCAGAGAAATAGCCCTGAAAGTCTACAGCAATGAAATTTCATGAAAATTTTCAGCTACTCAGTAGCTGTACCATGTTGCAAATAGACTTTTCATTATGTTCAGGTTACACTGAAGGCTACAGGGTGTCCCAAAGAAGATGTTCATACACTCTTGTGACTCACCATCAGGCAAATAGAAAAGGCTAGGGAAGAATGTCCACTGTCAGGATTGTTCCTGGGGATTGCCAGGACTGAATCCACTTGGATGAAATATATGGGAGTTATTGGTGGCAACCACATCTGCACTGACACACAGAGGTGCCAGGGCTTTTGTCTCTGCCACTTCTGAACTTCAGCAAGTTTTAAACTTTCCACTGCAGCTCAGCAGCAGGTGCCATGTTTTAATGCCTCCATGTGGAGTGATGTGGGAATGAACCAAGTTGGGATGTCTGATTCCTGTCTCTGTGGAGGGCACTGGTGCTGGCTGTAGACACAGACCTCTCCGCTTTTTTCTTTTCTTCCTGGTTGCTCGCTCCTTCCCTTCAGATGTGAAACATCTAGCTGTAATGTAATTCAATCCTGAAGCCACAGATGACCAGTGAAGTGAAGAAAATGAAAGCCACCCTTAATCAGCCTAATCTGAGCCAGGACTACTACTGCAAATAAAATATAAAATGTAAAATGGTATCTAAAAAGTGTTCTGGAAGTTAAGGACAGCAATTCAGCTTGACTGCTTTATGTGCAACTACCATAAGCACAGTAGGCTGAGGTGCTGTATAAATAGCCATGTATGCAGAACTGAGAAATGTTACAAGGCCAAGCATCGGTGACACCCATTTGAAAATTCATACTCAAACATTCCCTATTTCCAGTTCCAGACTTACTGATTAGTTAATAACCTGTTCTAAAGTTTACTGTTCTGCCAGAGAAAGGAAGCCAGGTCCTGTGCTAGCCATGATCAATCACACAGGGAGGAGTGAATGGCTGCACATCAATTGATCTTGTACCCAGTACCAGAAGTGAACCTCTAGGACTTCAGAGACATGGGATTTATTGGGGAAGGACAGCTGGATGTTACCACAGGACTGCAATGTGTTGATGACCTTCACTGGTGCATTGTGGAGAGATCACAGAAACAAGATCTCTGGGCTGTTTTCTGCCCCAGAAACAGTGTTTATCATCAATTTGTCAAGTGAAAAAAAAAAAATTCTTTTTTGTTTTGAAGCACAGTCTTGTTTGTTTAATTGCAGTAAAAAGTTACAAGACAAATGGAAATGAATATACAATGTTGGAAAAGGACCTAGATAAATATTTTTTCTGGAGTTGCAGTTTGGGGAGGGTCATGAGATTTTATTTTTGTATTGGAGAATGCTATAGAATTTTTAAAAGTTTGAAACTGAAGGAATTACTCCTTGTCCCATTGTTCTAGCATCCCATCCACCCAAGAGCAAAGATGGCTCTGGAACCAATTAGTGTATCATGTTCCAAACCTCTTCCTCTATTGAACAGGAGTGAAAGCAGCTCAGCCTGCCCTGCCAGCACTCCCCTTGTTGGTGACCTGTTTATGACCTGTTTGGTAATAATGCCAGCATGCAGGCAGGAAAGAAGGGTTGTGCTGTCCTTATCTTTTTACACAAAAACTCAGAGTAGAATCAAAGTAATGTATGAAAGCCTCTTATGAAACCACATTTCATAGGAAGGAGGCTCATAACTAGCTTTTACAGGACAGAAGAGAAATTAACTGAAGTGAAATTTCTTTCTTATTTTATCACAGGTGGCAGGATTTGTGCTATTCTGGAATGATGAGAACCAGAGCTGTTCCTTTGTATGTCAGATCAGCTTCGTGTGGGAAGTGGATTTTTTCTGCACCCAGTTCAACACTGGCAAGACAACAGGGTGTTTGTTTAACAAGACTAAACCCATGTCTGTTTTCCTGCCCAGAAATATCTCTCACAACTTATCTTGTGCCTGAGGTCAGCCTCAGATAACTGAGTCCTTGTCTGTGCCTTGCTGTGGTGTGAAGGGAGGCAGAGAATAAGGTTTGCTCTTATTCCCTAAGCTCCCACTGGGAACCTATGCAAAGCAAATGTGTCACGTGCCCCTAAGCCCCATGGTGAAATCTAAGACCCCACTTCATTCCCACCACAGTCAATAAAAAAGAAGCACAGGAAAACTATAGCTCTTGCCTTTTAACAGTGCTGCAGTACTGCTGGGGTATAGCAAGCATGGCAAAAAAAATACAGCACCAGGAAAATATATCAGGTGCTTTAGCTGATAATTTTCAAGAATTTTCACCTTTGAATTTTTACATGGGCTTTTTTTATAGTTATACTGAGTAGCAAATGATTTCTGAGTACATGCTGCAGAGATGTATAAGCAAAATTTCTTTTTGAACACAACCCTTTAGGCAGAACATGTATGTGGATAGAGCTCCCTAATAAAGTTCCTCCACTGAGCTACATACGTAGATAATAATTTTACAGTTCTGAAACCACTATAACCTGAATGATAATTGTCTTGTTTCATTTTGCAATAACAACAGCAGTATAGAATAACTCAACTCGGCTCCTGTTTGAAGAAATCATGTTGCAGATCACATGCTGTGCCTAACCACAAAAAGTTTTTCCACTTAGAAGGGGATTGTAAGTAACTTGATAGAGTGTTGTAAGTCTTTGGAAGCTTGAAAATAAGATTAAAGATCACAGAAATTTTGGAATTCCATGCCTTTCTCATCCTTAATATCATATCCAGTCATCTGGATGAATGGCATCTAGTTGAATGGCAGTCATGCATTTGTTACACCTTTGAGATAGTCAGCTAGGACACTGTCTGTACGCTTTACTTGCTTGTACATTTTTGGTGGTGGTAACTGTGGAGAAAAGATGTCCTGAGGAAGGATCAATAAATAGGAAAAGAATGTAATCGAGTCACAACTTGGCATGTATCCCTAAGCTGGAGAGTAGTGGTTGGAGAGATCTTTGCCTCAATTACTCGCCCTTTCTTGCTGCAGAGTGATGTCAAATAATTGCAACAGATGAGATGCTCTGACACAATTTAGGCTCCTCTCCTCATTGACTTCTACATGTGGTTTATGGTATCTGCCTTTTGCTCACAGTGAAGGAACATAACTGTAACTTAGCACCAACATAAATTGGTATGGCATCCTTAGCTAGGATGCATCCTCAGGACCTAGACTGCCTGATTTTTCAGTTGAATGTCATCAAAATCCAATTCATGATCTCACGTTGTCTGAAGCACAGGTACAGTACTGAACTGGGTTCAGTGCTTGATAACAAAAAGAGGGGCAGTTCCTAGGAATAGCATGTATGCTGATATGCTAATTAGCACTCATGTACAGGCAATATGTTTGTTGTACTGTACGGATCAGTTCAGTCTGGCTTCTCATGAGCTCATTTCTTAGATAATATTACTTTCAATCATACAAGGATGAAAATTTCTCTGAGGAGAAGGGACTTATGTAAGACAACAAAGATATTCCTGGGATTTAAAGGGAGATCCAGAGTTCAGGCCAAACCTTTCATTTCAGAAAAAAAAACAACAATTATTGACTTTTATGAAGCAATTTCTGCCTTCTTTTTCAACCAATATATCTTTTGCACAGAAAAATGTTATGATAAACATAGAACTTTTAATTCTGCAGAAGATGGATATTGCTCTGAAATTCTTTGAATACCTCTATACTAGAATATATTTTTCTTCCTCAAAAGAATATACTTTTCTTCCTCAAAAGTCTGCTGAAAATGTTGTGAAGGCCTCAGGGTTTAAGGCCTCATTTCTAAATGCAATGGAAATGATCAGCAGTGGATGAGAGGGAATGTTCCAAACTTCCCTCATCACTATTCACAGTCTCATTTTGAAAGGTAAGAACATAATGGCTTGCTGTCCAGAAGGGCACATGCCCTTATTCTCTTGTAAATCTGCCCAGGGAGCATTTCACAGGACACCAGCCTGAATTATATTGCTCCTGACAGTGATGTCAGAATGAGCAAATACTGAGGTCATCGACAAGAAATGCTGTCAACATGGTACAGCAGTGTTCAGCTTGTAGACCCATGCTTTCCTTGTCTTTAAAAATGAAGACAGCAGAATAACTGTCTTTCAGCTTCACACAATAATTGCATGAGCCTTTGCCTCTGGCTGCAAACAGACAGGGCTCCCTGGATGCCTGCCTGGGCCTGGGGCTGTTTCCTCCTCTTGCTGCCAAAGGAGTCAGATGCCTGTGGGGAAAAATAACAGGGGTGGGGGCAGCCTATGACCCCTAGCAAGGCTGTCTGCAGCCCTGCTGCCTGCACTGCCTTTCCTGGGGTTTCCTCCTGATATTCTTGATGTCTTATGTCGGCAGGAGTTGAACCCACAGTGACATGCTTTAGTATTTCTGTGTTTCCCTTGTATTTTTGTTCCCATGAATTTTTTTTGAAAAATAACATTCTATGATTTTTCTTTGACATGGGACCCTGCTCTGTAAGTGGCCACTTGTAAAGGTGAAGTTTGCCCTCCAGGACAGACCTCAGTGATTTTAAAATCTCTTCTTCACGTCATCACACTGTATAAAGTACAGCTGGTAGCAAACATTGCACATCCAGATGTTGCTGGGAAGCCTGGTATTACAATATTCAAAGTCCAGTGAAGCAAAAGCTAAGCGAGGCTGAGCATCTGGGCGGAGAGGTATGGTCATGGGCATAGAGCAGGCTGCGCACTGACTGGCACTGAAAGGATGGCTGTGCTAAAGAGCACGGTGCTTGGCTCAGGGAGAAGTGGTTTCCCTGAGGCAAGATAAGCCCACAGTAGGAGCAGGAGCTCCAGTGGAGTTCTCCTGTCAGCTTCAGGGACAGCAGAGCAATGGAAGGAGGGCACCGTGCCAGAAGAGAGGAATGGGTTTCATCCTGTCTTCCCTGCCTCTGCCTGGTTTCATTCACAAACAGAGCAAACATGTTTTCTGCACAGAGCTGGTCTGCATGGGATGGGTGGATGTATCTGGTAAATTTGGGTGGGGTTTTGATCATTATCCCAAAAGGGAGAGGAATTTTCATCATAACAGCAAAGCTCAACTCTCTACTGCAGATCAGAGAGAGAAGGAACAGCAGACTGCAGAAAGTGCATGGTAAACACCACTGGCAGATGATCTCTGGTGAAAATCCTCAGCATCTCCAACTGATCTGCTTTGCATGTATGAGGTTGCATGTCACAAAACCTACAACATGGACATTTCAACTACCCACTGCAGTGAACCTAGTTATACTGTTTCAAATACATTTCTAAAGCTATTGTTTATATTGACGAGATCGGGCCCACCTCCTCTTGTTCTTTGCTTTACAGCCTTTCCAGCATTTCCTTGCTGCTTCTATGGCAGGCGGGCAAAGTTAATCCTTATTTCCCTTAGTGCAAAGCTGGTTCCTGAGCACCCCTGTGTCTCTCCCTGCTTCTGCTGTGTGGCCCTGCTACAGGGCAGGGTACCACTATTTTGATACAGAGGAAAGTTAAAAGCTTTGCCTTCCTTGATGAGTCTGGCATGGCCTGTTGTAACTTTGAGACTGACCTAGGGATGCTCTGAAGGAACAACTCCTTCTAGTAATAAGAATTTACCCTTAATAAAGGGTAAATTTACAAGTATTGAAAAAATTACCCTTAGGAAAAAGAATTGCTAGAATTTATAGAAGAAACAAGAGTGGATGCATCTCAAGGTTTGTTTCATGCTCTCAGAGGTGTGGGGGCAAATGTTAGTCTAGAGAGCAAAGCATACTCTGGCCTGGTGAGATTAAGCATCTCTTACAGAAAAGGGGAACAGCACTTAGCTAGGGACATGCTCATGCTCTCTGCAGGACTCTGCAGACTCTGCAATTGAGAAAGGATTTTGCTATCTATGCTAAGAAACACAGTGCTGTGGCCACTTTAATAAAAGTTCCAAAATTAAGCGATTTATGTGTGTCTACATGTAAGCATTCCTTATGTAGTGGTGGGACTTGTTTCTCTGGAGCTGCAAACTGCTTTGGCACCAGCGATCCCACTGATGTCCTCTGCCAGAAGCCACTCACTGCCTCCATCCTTAGGTGAATTAACAAACACAAGCTTGGCAGTATTCTGTTCTACTTGGGGATTTTTTTTCTGCCTTTGACAAGAAAACGACACTACATTATTGAATTTAATTATTGAATATCCTCTCTAAATTTAGCACAGGCACCTGAAGTACTAGTGATTTATATCTCTTTGAACTGAGACAAGTCATGTAATTGAGGAATCATGCCAAAATGAATCTGCTGTTGAAGCAGAAGAATTGAGTGTAACAAATACCCATATGCTGGAGAAGCCAAGTCCACTGTCTTCCATTCTCCATGTTAGACATAAATTTAGAAAGTCATAGAGAAAAACATGTCATCCGTGCATATCCAAAGTCTTGTTGAACTGTTTTGTATACTGTTTCAAATTCTTTAACATAGAGGCTGAGACAAGAGAAAGATTAGCATTATTTTTGTTTCTGACATCCTGACATCTCTCACAACACGGTGGGTCACCTGTGAGCTCCTGCTAAGGTCAGGGTCTCTGTTTGCTATCTGTTGTACAAACACAGAGTGAGTAACAGCATCTATTCTGACTAGTATACTGTGTAAATAAACAAGGCCAGTCAAAGATGCAGAATGAGAGCACAATTTTATGGCAAACTACCTGAGGCACGGACGAGTTACTTGCCCAAGGTCACATTGGAAGTCATCTGGAAGGAGAGGACAAGTGCAGCTTTCCACAGTACACATCCAGATCCTCTGGGGAGCACCCAGCGAAGACAAGTGTCCTGTTTTGCCACATCTGCAGTCTTGACTGTAATTTGGATTCTACATGTGGAAACTGTTTATCAAACATATCCTTTATAAGTACAATGAACAGTATATCTTCGGCTGTTTGTGTGTTCTTGGTTAGTTTGGGGGTTGGTATTTTTGTATTTTCATTCTGAGCTGCATGATGTGCAAGCAAAATCCTTGGTTTTGCTTTTAAAGCCTAGAGACCCTTAGCAATGTAAAAACAAGTTTTATTTCTGTTAGACAACAGTGATGAGTTTGCAGGTATTGGCAGACCTGAAGATCTCCTTACAGTCTTGGTGTTCGATGCCTTTCAGGTCAGTAGACAACTGCCCTTAGCATTGCTAAATCACCCTAATCTGAAGAGAGTGCACAGCACTTCACAAGTCATCCACCTCTTTCTGACATGTTTGACACCTTCTGAGTGAGGAGCAGTCTATATTCAGTTTCCTGGAATCAAACGAAAGAAAATATTAAGTAAGCTATTTTTTAGCAAAAACAGTCAAATATCATGCTGGCAACAACAGAAAAAAGGTATGAAACCAGAAAACCTGTAGTTCCGTTCTTATCAAGAAGGATCTTTCCCACCAGCTTATTTACCCAAGGTGATAAAAGGTGACTCCCTGCCAGAGGAAGTCCAGGGAATTGGCATATCTAGAGGGAGGGCGGGCAAGGGTAACCCAACATCATTCATCCAGAGTTGCTTCCAAACAAGCTCCCTTCACTCAAAATGGCATTTCACATTCCTATCTTCCTTCTCACTGGTTATGCTGTCTGGATGCTGGGACAGGCATTTCTGCTTCATGTCTTTATATTTGATTAGTGAATACATCTATTGCTGTGTGTACAGCTTTTATTTCTCCCTGGCCTTTCCTAGCACTATGATCTGATGGTAGAAGTCCCATTTGTACATTTAATAATTTCTTATAAACCCTGTAGGTTTCATTCATATACAAACTTCACATGAACATGTAATGGGAAATACCTGATGTTGAGTTTGGGTATCTGCTGTATGCGGGGTGCTTACCTTAAGAGGGAGGCTTCCTGTGGGGCCCTTTCCCATCACACTGGGAAGAAATTTTTTGTGGAAACATTTCTGTTCAGTGTGGAAGACTACTTCTGAAGCATACCTAAAGCATGCTGACTGCTAACTATATCCGTGAAGTTAACACCTTCCTCACCAAGCCTGAAGACCTGATGCCAAAAATCGGTCTGTTTATCAACAGTGCAGAGAAACTTGGACCAGTAATGGCATAGCCTGGTGATCTTTTCCAAAATGGCATCAATTAAAAGCCAACACTGCCATGTAGCCCCAAAGGACCTCAGTCTTCTGGGTAGTGAAGTGGATTGCTAGCACAATTGCTTTCTTTCCCTCTCTCCTCTTGCTGACATTTTCTTCAAAATTACCTGCTTTGTTCTGGATGCTCAGCAGGTGAGACTGAGTGCAATCCTTCTTGCTTGTGATATGTTATTAGCCAATATAATTGGCCACACAAAAGCAGAATCGATCACTGCTCTCCCTTTACCATGTGCCACTTAAAGAAAGAGGGTAAATGACCTGATTCCATCTGGTGTGGGTGTTGCTTACATTTTTATTGAGGTTCACTATGTAAGACAAATACAGATTTTTTAGACAGTAAATGCAAAAAATAGACAATTTCAAAATTGTTTTGCATTTCATCTTGGCTCTGTACAGGACTATATGATGTGTGAACATGTTCCTTTGGATCCAGGGTGAAGCCTTTGTACTAAGTTTTTGGAGTGTCTGACCCCATTTTGATGTTATATATACATAGATTTTCTTCACCCTCTTCATTTCACCATTACTGCTTTGTCTTGCTCAATCTTTTGTACTAATATATGCCAGGAAGCATTTTACTTAGTGATGTTACTATTATTAGTTTATAGAAACAGTAAGCATATCAGACACCTAGCAGGAGCCACCTCAGACCTAGAAAATATGCCAGGTTAAGGAAAGAAAGTCAAGTCTACGTGAATGATGCCCTCAGTGAGCAATGATCATATATGTAGTGTTTTGGCTGGCACATTTCATGAATATGTTCAGCCATACAGAAATACCTGTGTGTGCTGAATAACATATACCCATTGGTACAGGCACATCAGCTAACACTACCAAAGTGTACACTTCAAAGTGTTTTAAAATTCACAGTCAGGGAGATCTTACTGAAAACTAATTGTGCATTTCAGTCTGAGTTTAATAAATAAAGTGTCAGTCCAGAAGAAATTTAGCAAAGGTGAGTGGATTTCCTGCTCTGGTCATAAATAGGTATGTATTCAATTAAGTATATATTAAACATACCAGTTTACCGGATAAATACTGAAATATCAATCCTTTTGGCTCCATAAAGATAATGGAGAAAGATATTGCCGTCTGTCTCAGTTGATTAGTTTGGACAAATGTGACAAATCAGAGAAAATATAGATGTCAGAAACATATGTACTATGTATGTTTGTAAGAATTGGTAGAATCTTTTTAGTCAGTCATCTTAATATGTACTTACTTAACAAACCATGCATTTTGCATCTCATGTGCCAGACTTCAGAATTGTGTTTAGACATGTAAAAGTACCTGTGCAAGCAGGATCTCTGTTATAGTTTGCCGTTGCAATCATTTTGTCATATTATATTTGGTAATAATTTCTAATAATATAAATAGTATATTTATATACTATTTATATATGTATAAATATATACATATATAAATATATGTATATATTTATACATATATAAATAGTATATTATTTATATATGTATATATAAATAATGCACATCAATATAAACACACAGACAGATCTAGGTAGATAAATATAATATACTATTTATATTATTAGAAATTATTACCAAATATAATATGACAAAATGATTGCAACGGCAAACTATAACAGAAATATCCAAGGCACATTATGAAATACAGCAAAAATGTAAATGAGACATTATAGGAAAATCATGAATGTTTCCTATTTCTGTCTTTGGAATATGAATCTTGCCTTGCTCTGGGTCTCTTTTTCCCAAAGGTTAGTGAAGTGCTAATTACAAAGTGTGAGAAGCAATCAATTTCCTTCAATGGTTTGAAGATTTTATTTTGAAACCATTTTTACTCTGAATCTCCTATCTTCTGTCTCCACAATTACCCTCTTCAGTATTATTCCTTCATGTTTTTTTGGAAACTGTCTTTTAAGATTAAGAAAGCTTCAGCAAAAGAAACTCATTCTGAAGTACTAAAGCAACAAAACATTTCTATCCAAAGAAGCACAAAACTGAATCAATTAATGGGCATGAAAAATATAGTAAAAATAGCCTAAAAATAAAAGTGTTTCAAATGAAACTTTCAGGGATTGAGCCCACTATTATTTGTTTAAGCAGTAGATTTTGTGACCAAAATAAGAGCAGAAACGGGCATACAAATCAAGCCATAAAGATGAATGAAGGAAATACGTATTTCTACAGACCATACATGAGACATTTTTAGCCAAAAATGAGTTTTCTAGCCTAGAAAAGATCTCCCTCAAAATTTTTAAGTTTAAAAAGTGATAACATTTTACAAGAACAATAAACCATTTCAAAGTTCGGGGAGGGCAAGGGACCGGGTGTTGGGTGGTGTCGTATAGTTTTTTGATTTTGTTTTGTTTTTAATAGGTCATGAGGGTAATAATTGGGGTAGTCTGGTCCCATGAAAGATGTTGACTATATGATACATCACCTGAGAATCAGAGAAGCGCTCTGTGGCACCCAGAGGGACAGGCTGAATTCTCCAGGGACAGCAAGGACACACTGTAAAAAGAAGGAAGAAACTGCAGGCCTTGAGTCTTAATCCTACTTAAAAGAGTGAACACCGTGATTGTGTTACCTACTGTTGCTAACAGTGGCTAATAGAGGCAGAAGATGTGATGATTCACATGTGATGTGGAAAATTATGAGTATGGGAGACGAAAATTAAAATTCCCCCAGCATACAAACAGTAACACAGCAATGAACATGCATGTATAGAGTAAATCATGCTATCCCAAAGTTAACCAAGAAAACTGTGGAAGTTACTGAAGATGTGTAACAAAACACTTCCAAGAAAAAAAAATTGAATTATTGAAGACATGTTTTAAAAGAAGGCAGGATAATACCAAAAAGCTTTTAATTATTTACACTTTATTGCACTGAGTCTATAAGAGATATGTCCTGCTTTGTCTCCTACCTGGGCTGTGTAGAGAGAGCAACTACAAAAATAACACCCCCAGCAATTTATCTCCCATCAAATGTATGGCTAAATAGATTTCCTTCCTCATTTACAAGTGACATTTCACACAGAAGTGACTTACTGAAAAGTTACCTCCTGGGAAAATAGGTTCATGATCACTGATCTGAGTCAGCATAGGCACAGTGGGCAGCTAAAAGGGTGTTATTCAGAAATACATCTTATTATTTAAAGCAAATGAGCTTCATGACCTCTGTGTCATTGTGAAGTATAGTACTGTTTCTCTGACTTTTGTACTATTCTGATAGCTAGTTTGGCATACTCCATTCTGTAGTATTGGGCTATGATCTATTTGACACAGTTAAAATGTTTCATTTTTTTCATGGATAGCTGTCCTGCTATCATGCTCTCCCCCTCATCCCCCACCAACCATGAGGTAAACCTTACATAACTGCAGCATGGCAGGGATGTTTGGCTTTGCACAGAGAATGGTAGCTCTCATTTGTATTAAGGAGATTACACCCACTTTAACCATCTGCTTTTACTGGTATATTTATGTGTATGTTTAGTTTAGACCAGAGAGTATATTTTATTCTTTATGAAGAAATTAGAACCAGGTGTGATATTTCAGTTCTTGCCTGGACTTTAAGCATGTCTCTTAGCTATTTGCTCCCAGTAAGGTGGATGATTGCCTGGGGGAAATCCTACTGAAAAGTCAGCACTTTCAGGTATTCTGCCTCCAGTCCTTTGCTCCCGACCAGGTCTCAGGGCCCAGCCCCTCCATTTCCTGACAGTATTTTGGGTATCATGTAGCTTCACTGCCCTGATGGAGGCAGAGTACACAGGGTGTGCTCCTTGGTACACCCTTCTCCAGGAACTCTAGATGGAAGTGCTGGTTCTTTCCTTGATGAAAAAAAATTGAAGTTTTTAGTTGAAAGACTAGTAACAAAAACATATTTGTAAAATAAATTTTAAATCACAATTGTAGCTAGAATTTAAAATGTGTTTAACAGTCTATTAAATAATCTTGGCAATCCATGGTGGGGCTGGATCTTATAGCTGTCTGAGACTACATATTGTTGCTCTTTTATGAGTTCATCAGCAAGCTGCTGCCTGGCCTGACAACATAATGCCTGTCAGAGGAGACAAAGGCTGTAATTATACACATAGATTAGTAAAGCCATGATTTCTGAGAGGTTACCTGTGTGGTATAGCATCCACAACTGATACATGAATTATGCCAAGGACAAACTGATTAGCAATGTATTTTGCACTAGCAAGTCGCGTCTTCTAACCTTAAAATATTGTGAATTTAGTATGAACGTTTCACACAACTAATGTGCGGCTATATTGAATGATCTTTTCACAAAAGCAAAAATGTTGTAATTTCTTTCTTTTGTTTTTAAATTTACCCTACCAGAATTACAAAATCTAGAGTGCACTTGTCTATTTCTCTTGATCCATGAAAATCCCAGCCTAAAATTATTTTTAAAAGCCCTGGGATATTCTACTTTAATCATGCACTTCTTGCAAGCAAATCACTTTTACACATTTGTAAGTGTGGCTACAGAGAGGCAAGCACATGCTGCCATCCCATGTTTTTAATTTCCCACAGCAGGTAACAGTGTAAATTCCTGAGACCTGGCCATGACTTGTGGATATCCTTTCCACATTGCTGCCCTATTTTCTTTTCTTTCATTTTTTTTTCTTTCAGTGTCCTTTCCTTAGGAACAAATGCACTTATTCAATAAGCACTGAATTTAGGGAACTTGTTGTAGCCTCTTCAAAGGTGTTGGAGCCCTGATGTATAGAAGCATTGATAAGCCCAAATTCATTCTCAATGACAAAGGTAAATTCATCTTCTAGAAAGGAAATTGCAATCTAAATTTAACTGAAGTCAACAGGAAAAATCATCTCAACAGACTGTTTAAGTGTTGCAAAATCATTTTCTGTACTATGTGGAATCTTACTAACATATCTGGGGGAAAGAAAACCACTGATATGAGATTCTGACCATGAAACATTCACAAAATTACATTTAATTCAATAACACATGAAGGCAAGTGTTTCAAGTGAAAATGGCTTGCTTTCTTTCTGCCCTGGAAACATTTCTGGTAGACTTAAAACTCAATGTGTGCATGTGTCCAGCAAAAGTTTCCATATGTGTGCATGCACACGCTGCACACACTCACACATACCTGCCCAAAGGAGGACTTGACAGGTTTTCATTTCTGACAGGCAACATCAAACAGGATACAGAGCAGTTGTGACATGCTCACATCTGGCATGCAGGTCCAGGAAGCTGACATGATATTCACATTCTGCTGGAATGGGGAATTAACAGATTTTTTTTTTTTTTTTTTACTGTCTTGAGGAACAGATTTTTATGGAAGGTTTTTCTCCACTGGGACCATGTGTGCAGTCTGTAACACCTAGCTTGAATTCATGCCTGAAAACTACTATCAAGGGTTTGTATCTTGCTGCTGGTGCTCAAGTTTTCCATAAACACAAGTATTGTGATTACCTTTCATTTGACCAGCACCTCTACTTCAGTCAGGGTTGCTACTTCTGCCAAGCAAACATGAAGGTTAATGAGCAATGTACAGGAATTGCACAATTGTTTTAGAAATCTTCATAAGCTTTTGTTGAAGATAAAGAAGCACCATGATGTGCAATATTAGTTGGAAAGGTGCTGAGATTTCACAAAGTTGTAAGCGTGTCCAATGCATGCAATAGCCTAGTTCTGCATTTGAGAACAGCCTCCTACACCTTCAGCAGCCCTCTAACTATGCATTTCAAACAGTACTTTCCAAGATCCCTCTATTTTTCTCCAAAGCTCCCAGTTTTTGGAACTGAAGTAATTAATCAGTTAGGGATCAGTCACTAGAAAAATTTTATCAATACGTTCTCATCCCAAATTTTCAAAACCAACCAAAGATAATAACTTTGCTTCAGCTGTAGCTCTTGGAATTCCCATGCCCATGAAATATGGACTCCCCTGAGTACTACCTAGCTAAAGAATTTTGGTTTTTAGAAGTCATGTCAAGACATGTCCCATTCTGATTTAAAAATACAAGAGAACGATGGCTGTGAATGGTTTTATCTATGTTCCTAACAAGTTTTAGAAAACTCCCAATCACTTCTGCAAAAAAAACTTTTCGTGCTTTTCCTGTGTCTGATGAACTTTAGGAAGAAAGTAACAGCAGCGAAAACATTCCTGTCAGCAAGTACGGCTTGTATGAAAATAACTCATAATTGTGCTAAATAAATTCCAGTCTCTCAGATTTTTCCTACCGTCCTCTACAGTGCGCGTTACATAATGAAGGCACATCACATACTAGATATCACAGCCATAGCACTATGGGGAGGTATGAACACTGTTTATAAAGCTGTGGGTGAGGGTGCACTCAGGGTGCTGTGAAAGGAGAACAAGAGGTACCTCTGAGGGTCTAGATGAGACTTCAAGTCCTAAGGCACATGGAAAGATGGAAGGAGATGAGTCTGCAAAGAGGAGTCAGCAGTACAGTCTAAGAATTGGCTGCAGTGTGCAAAGGGTGACTGCCAAGGCCATACAGCAACCAGTGAGGTGAGGCTCAGTGTTGCAGCTTGCAAACTCAGGATGGGCATCCTTCTCCTAGGAGAGGATGTAGCACTTCACAGAGGGGTCTCCAACCTTACAGTCTTTAAAGGCTTGGCTAGGCAAAGCCCCACCAACCTGTCAGAGATACGGAGAAAGTCCTGCCTCAGGCTGTGTATCAGAGGAAAGATCTCCAGGGTGCCATCCTATCCAACACTTCTGCGATTCTCTGTATGAACATATGAGCCACTATGCCACTTTAGACCTTACATGTACAAGGTATTTCACTTTCTTACTTAAAAATTAAATTTACTTATTTTCTACTTAAATTCACAAATGTTTTCTACCATCCTCAGTGCAGGAGGTGCACAGCAAAGCTGTCATAGTTGTGGAGCTGGATTTTAACACTCTGAATGCACCTGAAGACAAATCATGGTACGGCATAGGTGTAATTTTCCTTCAGAGCAGTGACATATCTGCAGCTAGATGTCTCAGTGGCCAAATTCAGTCTGAGAGTTCACCAGACTGTGACACAAGTTTCTGAAGCAGGAATGAATCTTGTGCTGTGCACTAGGGAAGAAGACAGTAAGGAAAAAGGACCTTATGAAATAGTGGAGAAGTGTGTCTCTAACTTCTCACAGATCGGTTTACACAAGATTTCTGAGATACAGAAATTAATCTACAGGGAAAGTGATGAAGCAAGATCACACCAAGCCGCAGGTGGAAATATGATAAATATGAGCACAGAGAGAGGATCTACATGTCTATTTATATCTGTCTGTTTATCGATCAATCATCTCACCTTTCAGAGCAACCTCAAAATTACAGACCATCTAATGCCTGCACCTCGACTGCTAAAAATCACTCTTACTTCTGTCAATCAGCTTTTGCAGCTCCCACCAGCATGAACCCCTTTAATATAAACAAACCATGGTGGTTATCCACATGTGAATCTCTAAATCTGCTGGCTCGCTAATTTACTTATGTAATTTTTATGGGTTTTCTTTCCATGGAAGAGTCCTCTGTGAAAACTTTTTAGCTAAGTTTACAGTGTAGAGAGAGGGAAAATGGGAATAATCACCAGTGGGCAGTATTTCAGTTTCTGCAGTTAAAGAGGATTAATTAAATTACATTAAATATATGGCATACCAGATAGCAGTCAGAGACAGTGACAGGAACAAAATGATGGGAGATGGTCTCTCATTAGCAAAGCAGTGATAAGAGAGAGGAGAAGAAGCTAGTGGCAAAGAGATAGGAAGTAAAAAGCACCCCTTCAGAGAAGTGTTTGGGTCTAACTTTCCTTTAAGATTGTCACTGTACAGCCTCCTAAAGTTTTTATTATCAGTTAAGAACCTCTAATCTTCTTTAGATTCTCTTTTTGATAATGCTTTTCAGTTACCTCCCAAACTGATGCTGTTGTTTGTTGCCTTCCTTGTTTTCTAGAGTTTTTAGCTTTTATCTTCTTTATCATACTCTTTTTTAAGATAATTTTAAATAAACACAAAGTTTTCAAACTAAATCTGGGTTACCTAGTGCCTTTTATCCTTTCTAGTAGGAATAAATTAAAATCCAATACATTTTCTCTAGGACTTCATCGAGAAGTAGCAGGTACCTTGCAAGGGAAGGTAACAATACCCCATCATGACTAATATCTATACATTTTTCATATATAACACATGTGTGTTTTTCAACTCCACATGCATTTAAACATGTAACATGTCATCACAAATGTCATGTTTCAAAGGAAATTCCTGAAGAAAGAAAGAATTCCTTTTCCCCATGCTTTATCTCTGTAAAAAGATGTTCTCTTGTCTTTGTTCTCCTTATTATTAGCTCTGAAAGAAAGAAAATTCTAGACTGATGGTTAGACTTCACACCTTTCTCAGAAAAGTCATCCTATTGCCTTTCACAGATTGATACATGTGTGTTCACAGCATCAGGCTTTTTCTACAAAATTTACTGCAATTTGTTCCTAAGTAAAAGCAACCAGATGTGACACAAGGACACCTTAGCTTTAACCTTGTTTTTACCCAAAGTTATTCTCTACCCACTACATAATTTTCTCTTTGGCTTTTGGTTACACTTCTTATGTATCTCTGCCTTCATGGCAGGAGTCTGCACAGCAGTTACAGGGGTGTCATTGCAATGAGACACCTGCTTTTTCTGCATAGTCTGTGCTCTTAAGATGGAATTTCAATATGTGCAAAAAACCACCGTCTTGGCTGAAGAGTATGGACTAAACTCCCTTGCTTTGCAAGTGGATGGCTATTTTCGCTCTGGCTGCTGTCACTAAAAGGGTCCAGCAAATGTGTCTCTAAAAATACAGAGATTATTTTTCACCTATAAATAGATGCATTGAGAAATGAATACAAACCTTAGAGAGATTCTAACCATCACAGGCACATGTAATGGCTTGCCTGTGGTAGTTGTAAGCCACCTTGCTCTTAGAGCAAGCAGTAAGAATGTGCAGCTGGATGATGGATAACCACTGATGAGTCGCATGCTCGGCTCTTTTGCCCATATCGTTTGTCTGTGTATCTGGCCTGAGTCTTTTGAGCAAAATAGAGCTACAAGCTTCAGTCAAAGACAGAATATCAGCCAAGTCAGTGAAATGGTGAGGGCCAACTCCGCCAGGCCAAGAAGGTTCAGGCCCATAGTATACTCAGCCTTTAAAAACCTACATGAAAGTCTGGAACAAGCACAAGGCCAATGCTTGTCCTCTGGTCCATGGCACCTCCTTTACAGAAAAGATCAAATAAATCAACCAGTCACAACCTGAACTGTATTTTCATCTCTTGCTGGGGTTTAGAGATACGCAAAAATTTTTCAAAGCATATATGTCCAAGGTAATAGGCAGTGTTTTCTCTTGAGCAAGACACAGACTCTAAATGGCAGATTAGTATTTGAAAATTTCCTTTTTATTTCTCAAACAACAACAAAACTGCCTAGGAACTAAAAATGCTGCTCATTACAGGAACTGAAATAACTAAAATTTTAAAAATACCCATGCTTGCTATTTTTACACAAAAATGCAGATATGCCAGGAACTCTTAAAAGTGCATGAAGGATTTTGCTAAAATTTGTTGATTTATGTGGAAAGAAATGAAATGGTAAAGCCTTACAAATGCCTCAGATCAATACTGAGCACCACAAAGGAAGGTGGGGTTAGAAAAAAACAGAAGCTGCTGAGTCTTCTCTCTGTTGCTAAAGTGCTAGCTCATGTGTTTCTATCAACATCAGTAGTATTTTTAGAAATGTTCCATGTTACTCTTTTCACTTACCCTTTCAAACATATTTGTTTTCTCTTGACCTATTGGCTGAACAGTAGTTACTGTTTTCACCTTTTACAGAAAAAAAATACTGACTTGTGGAGATACTGCAGCTTTCCTGTTGATGTCTCCTCTCTGTAAACTTAGGGCAGCTTATCATTAAAACAGTGTCTGCTGTCCTTTTTTCTGATTCTCACTGTTTTGTAGTCCTTAACTTTTATTAGGCCAATTAATTTTCAGCATCTTGTCTGGTGCAGTGTGCTCAGAGAGGATGTTTTTTGCTTATAAATATTTTAATTAAAGGTTAACTCAAATATCAGGATTTAAAAATCTCTAGAACTCAATTTACAATATGTCTGACCTGACTAATCATGCTATGGGCTAATTAACAACATGACAGGCACAGTGCTAGTTGGGGGAATGACGGAAGAGGCAGAAGCTGTGTCCTGTGTAGGGAACCCAGTTTGTTCAGTGATGCTGGGAGAAGCACAGTTTTGCTTGGGATAGAAATAAATGCTGTGAAAGATCAGGTGCAATGAACTTCATAGTTTAGTGTAGTGTCTGTGAAAGTTTCCTTCCTGAACAAGCTTTTGGGATTTTCTTTTAGCAAAGCCTCCCCTTCTTTATGGACATATTCTGGATTGATAAAAATCTGAACTTTTTATAGGGAAGTGGCAGTTTAGTTCCTTAGTTTCTGGACTGA